CTGCTTATGCCTGTGCTCTTTCACAACAAAGACGAGAAAGAAACAAGAAAACGGTGGCCAAAGAACCACCAAAATTCTACAAAGTTTGGATTCCGAAGTCTGGACTTAAGCAAAATCAGCATTCGGAGCCCGTTAAGACTCCATACCCGCAAGGGGGTGGTTCTAAACGTGCGACTCCCGACATAACCTTGGATCGCTCAAAGACAGTAATAAATTATTCTGAGAATGTCAACAAGGTTTTACACCCCCAGAAGAAGACGCATTCACCAAATGACATCGTCATACCTGGGAGGTCATGCCAACAGACGATACGATTTTTTGGCAATCATACCGATGAATCGTATTATCAAGTTGGGGGTGTGAATAAATTTCGAAAGAGAGTTATTCGAGAAATAAGCTGTCATTGTTCCTGTGCACGACTCATTAGAGCAGTATTGACGGAATATAACTACGCCAAACGAGAAGTCATCCCGCAAAAAGTTTCAGTGTTCCAGAGGCTTTTCACCGAAATGTCAAAGCCCAGGCCGAAACGTTTCAGCAAGAAGTTTGCTATTCAAGAGGATGAATTCCCTGAAGTCACCATTAATATGGCTGATAAAGGAAAATCTAAACGGCATTCAAATGAATCAAATCCTGATTTTTCCCCAGGAGGAAAAGTCAATTCAAGAATTGCCCAACGGATGTCTCGACTCCAGTTAAGAGCTATCAGACGTAGAGATTACAAGAGAATGCAAGAAGGAATGTCCTCGGAGGATGAACTCTCGGACACTTGTTCTGCGATCGCTTCGGATGATACCATATCTAGCACAGGGCAAACCAGAGAAGTACTCACGATCACCTCTGATCAATTTGCTCAAATACTTCAAGAAGCTCTAGCGAAGCAACGTGAAGAAATTAGAGTTGAGATGAAAACAGAGATGGAGTTAGCTATCCAACAAATGAGAGAATTGCTAACTCGACGGTCTCAACCTCCTGAGTCCAGTCAGCGAGCTGAATCCAGCCGCCACACTCAGAATGTTGTAGATGACAGTGATCCAGAAGTGGATGAAATCATTATGGCTGATACACATCCCAATGATAATAACACTGGGGGTGGTTCAACAGATCCTCCCAATAACAATATTGGGGGTGGTTCAATTGCACCGCTTAATAACACTGGGGATGACCTAATTATTTCTGCTCAACATCACTCAGAGAGAGATGAAGATGAGGACAAGAAAATGCAAGACCTTGAAAACAAAGTCAATGCTTTGATGTCCACTCAGGAAGTAAAGAAGACGGGTATTCCGTATCCCTATCCAAAAGACGGAGAGTCAGTCGACAATTTTGTCAAGCGCTTCCGTAACAAGACAATGAATTGCAGAGATCCTATTACAAAGGAGTTCATCCTGCAAACATGCCACAGTAATCTCTCCATCGATGTCCTGGAAGCCCTGGGGGTCGTACCATCCAAAACTTGGAAGGATTTGAAAATACGCGGTGAACAAGCTGAACACTTTCTTAAAAGAAAGAAAGCTGAGAGAAGCCGACCGACGACATCTGCAATCGCTGGGAACGTGACTCTCGATCCGAGGTTCGGAATACCTCCTCGCCAATGACAAAATCGAGCTACCGCCTATTAAAGATCAGGAGGGAGCTAAAAGGATTACGGATACAAACTACTGTGCATACCACAGAAGGGTTCTTCATCCCACTAAGGTTTGTTTTGGACTCAAAAACAAAATCCAAGCCTTAATTGACTCCGACGTCATAACGGCGAAACAAGCCGAGTAAAGACGACCTTTACTCCATTGGATACACGAGTATAAACTGTTTTCCTCTAACTCCGAAGAGTATACGAGTATAAACTGCTTCTTTATGTGACTCCGATGAGTATACGAGTATAAACTGCTTCTCCATCTCACTCCGAAGAGTATACGAGTATAAACTGCTCCTCGATACTCCAACAAGTATATGAGTCTAAACTATTTCCTTTCTTTCACGGGAAGTTCCTGGAGATCGCTATGCATAGTACTCTTAAGGATAACCCGATCATGCAGCTGAATATAATGATAAACCCGGTTTAATAAGAAAAGCTGGGGGTGGATGATTCATGTAACGGGAAGTTCTCGGAAGAATGCTATATGTAATTTTCTTAGGGATAACCCGATCATTACGAACAAAGTGATAAACACTACATCCCCACGATGATTTTCAAATGCTCTTTTACTGAGATGAGATTCGATCACTTCTTTAGATTAATCTTCCCTCACAAAACTCATATTTGGTCAAACCTTTAAACGGTTAGGACCAAAACCAAAATCCCCTCTCGATTCCTTCCACGAACGAGAGGTCCACAAATTGAACGATCAAACCTTTAAACAGTTAGGATCGTCTCACACCATTTGGTCAAACCTTTAAACAGTTAGGACCAAAACCAAAATCCCCTCTCGATTCCTTCAATGAACGAGAGGTCCACAAATTGAACGGTCAAACCTTTAAACAGTTAGGATCGTCTCAAGTCCCCATTTGGTCAAACCTTTAAACAGTCAGGACCAAAACCAAAATCCCCTCTCGATTCCTTCCATGAACGAGAGGTCCACTCAAATTGAACGATCAAACATTTAAACAGTTAGGATCATCTCAAAACTCCCAATTGGTCAAACTTTACTACAGTTAGGACCAATTGGTCAAACCTTACTACAGTTAGGACCACAAAGCCAAAGTCTCTTCTCGATTCCTTCCATGAACGAGAGGTCCACTCAAATTGAACGATCAAATCTTTAAACAGTTAGGATCGTCTCAAAACTCCCAATTGGTCAAACCTTACTACAGTTAGGACCACAAAGCCAAAATCCCCTCTCGATTCCTTCCATGAACGAGAGGTCCACTCAAATTGAACGATCAAACCTTTAAACAGTTAGGATCGTCTCAAAACTCCCAATTGGTCAAACCTTACTACAGTTAGGACCACAAAGCCAAAGTCTCTTCTCGATTCATTCCACGAACGAGAGGTCCACTTTCAGTTGAATAATCAAACCTTATGACAGTTAGGATTATTCAAACTCGTCCAGATTCTCTAAGTGGAGATTCCACTTTGAGTTTTCTTTGCATCTGGAGATAGAATATAAAATTCTTCCTCTCCGATTTCGGGTTTATCTCTACCAACAAAAAAAGAGACAAGGAGATAGAATATAAAATTCTTCCTCTCCGATTTCGGGTTCATCTCTACCAACAAACAAGAGACCAGGAGATAGAATATAAAATTCTTCCTCTCCATCATCGGGTTCATCTCTACCAACAAAAAAAAGACCAGAATACTCTAATAGGTACACGAATTTAAACTGTTTCCCTACCCCCAACAGAAAGTTTCCGGAGAATATCACTTAGAATATTCTTAAGAATAACCTGACTACCTCCCAACGAGTATATGAATATAAATTATTCCTCTGTCATCCAACACCAGCTCTAAGTCAAGACTTCGACAACGGTCAAGCGATAAACGTAACACCGGAAGAATTTTGTCTATTCTACAAAGCACTGAATAGACCAAATGATGAAGAGGTCAAGATTTGAAGCCATTTACAGGTCCTTCCGTACGATCTACTCAATCAAGTATCGAAGGGATTGCAAATAAGACCTGTCTTATCCAAAGTGTCCCAGACTCCTCTATAAAAGAATAAGTCTGGAACACTTTGGAGGGGGTATCTGTAGGCGTCAAAAAATACTGAAAGCGCAACTCAAAAGGAAAAAAAAGAGATTATCATAGACTGTCTCGCACGCGAGACAGTCTTTACTGTCTCGCCATGCGAGACAGTCTTTACTGTCTTTCCATATGAGACAGTGTTTACTGTCTCGCATGCGAGACAGTTTTTACTATCTCACACGCGAGACAGTGTTTACTGTCTTGCACGCGAGACAGTGTTCACTATCTCGCACGCGAGACAACTTTCCCCCTAGGGTCACTTCTGACGAGGATCGAGCACTTGAGAGAGCAACCCAGAGCAGAGAGAGAGAGAGCAGACTTGAGTTATTCTTGGATTCCCTTGAGATTCGAGCTTTGACTTGATCTTAAGAAGAACGACTATCTTACTTTGATAAGATCTTCGTTTCAAATTCTCACTTCGATAAACGAAGGAAGAATCATTAAGCCCCCTTCACGATCTGTGAATCGGTGGTCCACGAGTCAAAGCGCTCCAGGCACAGGCAAAGTCCCACAAAACAGGATTCGATAAACGACTTCTGTGTTATTTTCTCAAGAGTTGTAATTTTCTCTTTGTTGTGTAAAAGAGGTCTTATAAAAAGACTATTTCTTTGAATTTGTTGTAATCGAACGAAGATATAATGAATTCCATTTGAATTTGTTGTAATCGAACGAAGATATAATGAATTCCACAGCAAAACCAACTTTTGACGAAAACAATTACATAGTACATTGTTATCATTCACTTTTGTATATACATCTTTTGTGTCTGTGTAGCCCATCGGCTCCAACAACATGTTGAATTTAGTGTTGCAGCTTGGTTTGTTACCTAGAAGATCAAGTTAGGCGGATAACTTAAGTATCCTGTGTTAGTTATCAGAATATTGAATTTGGGTGAAGCATTTGGTTGTGACTAATTTTTGAGACGTTTGGTAGAAACAATTCAAATATTTTCAAAGCCAAAGTTAGTAAGGTTCAATTTTGCAGCTTTTTAGTTAATGCTGCAATTTACTTTTCAGGGTTTTTTTTTTCTTCCCTTTGACATGAAGAAGGCAATATAGATCTATGTTCTGGCTTACTCTTACAATGATTTGCTGCATTTGCATGTAATTGCAAACGTATGTGTGTTTATCAAACTAAGATTTTCCACATTTATCCCCAGAGTTGATCATATTGAACTTGCAGATGAAAACTAATATAAGCTGATTGCTAATGACGTTGCATCAGAAGTAATCACAATCGTTTGTTCATTTAAAAGGGTGTACTTTGATTTGCTATAAAGAGGTTTTAGTTGATGACTTTTGCATTGGTATTGCAGAAAATGCTCGAGTTATGGTTTTAGCTGCTACAAACCGTCCATCGGAGCTAGATGAGGCAATACTCAGGCGTTTTCCTCAGTCTTTCGAAATTGGCATACCTGGCCGGAGCGAGAGAGTTAAGATATTGAAGGTGGTCCTGAAGGGGGAAAGAATAGATGAAGACATTGATTATGACTATATTGCTGGGCTTTGTGAAAGTTTTACTGGTTCGGATATTTTTGAACTCTGCAAGCAAGCAGCCTATTTTCCTGTTAGACAGTTGCTGGAGGAAGAAAAGAAAGGGAAGGCCCCACAGGTAAGAGTATACCTTGTCATTTGATCTTAGTATAGAGTCATACTGTTAAATGGGTAAACTTTTCTGCAAAAGGTTCCTTGTCATTTTAGCTTCACTATGATGTCTGAGCATTATTGAGTCTAATATTCTGAAAACGGTAAATTAGGAAAGGATTAATGGTAATTGTCATTAACTTTCACTGTCAGATTCTTCCCAAATTTATGCGTAATGACAACTTTTCTAGCCAGTGGTGAAGGGGGTTTATGATTTATAAGCATCCTTTTCGATAATATAATGAATTTAGGTCCAGTTTTTTGGTTGCATGTCGCAGATACCAAGAGCATTGAAACAGTCTGACCTGGAAAAAGCTTTGTCAAACTTTAGAAAAGTGAAGAGGGGAAAAAGCGAATACCGATATGCATTGCATTCACCTTCATGGTTAGGGAATGCTGAGACTGACGTTGATGATCCAGTCCAGAATGCTATTTTGAAGATCTCTGATATCATGAATCATATTCACAGCAACAACCGAACTGAATCTGAAGCCTAATACCCTTCGTTGTTCATAATTTTTACAGAAGTTCCTTTTTTACTTAATAGCTAGTTCATTTTATAAAAGCTAACATGCCGATATTACCTCTTGGGAACTATAATCATGGCCTTGAAGCAGCTGACTTGCCTCTGCTGAATTTCAGCCTTCATTCAACGCAGTGTTGTTTTGGAAGTGCCATTATTATTTCTCACCTCCAAAACTTTTGTTTAGATGTTTAGCAACATGAAAAGAGAATGAGATGGGACAAGACCTCGTTATTTTAGCACTGATTCTTGGCCACAGTAGTGATTCACTGCCAATGTACTAAATAGGCTTTATCTCTGTACTTTGTACAGATACGTGTTCTTGATACTACTGTGTGCATTTTGGATGTCAATGCTAGAAACCTTGCCCTTTAGATTCATCTGATTAGAAATGGAAGGTTTTAAGCATTGTAAGCTTTTTGTGAATCTCTAATTTTGATAATGTTCTGACTTTCGGTCTGCTTTCTTCCCATGTTATCTTTGTGTTGTGACAGATAGAGCCTCTTTGTGTAATGAATTTAGTTGAAGATGTGTTTGAAAGATGCATTTCTGGCTAAATCGCTTGTTGGTTCTATTTCTTAAATCAATTGAGCATTCGTTTGCTTATTTGTTTATATACACACTAGAATGCATTAAATTTGATTTAAGCCTTCTAGGCATTTTGTCTTCAAGGAACACACGAGGGTCTAAACAAAATTCCCTCTGAGAAAAAGAAAAATGTTAAGTCCTGAATATTTCAAATAATTGTAGCAAAAGCAAACCGAGGTAGTTCAACACTGGCTACATGCGCGCACTAAGGATCAATTTAAGAACTTTCTTAGGAGCACTTTTGCATCAGTTTAAACACAAGGGAAAAAAAAGTGAAAATAAAACAATTATGTGCCATTGTTATCACAAGTAAGATATATTTCTCTGCTCATTCTACATGTTACTTGACCTCACGTATGGGAAAAGGACTCAAAAGCTTCGTCTTAAAACAAAAATCTAGAGCAACAGAAGCTGAAAGAAATATAAAGACACTTTGAGACACATACACTGCTCCATCAACAGAGTACGAAATCAAGCTGTTTATATCTACTTCAGAAAGCTGTCCAGCGCCCAATGCAGCAAGACCTACAATAAAGAGAATGAAAAATTTATTTTGACTTTTAAGCTCTCGTTGAAAATCTCACAATGTCATGGTTCTCACCTTTGACGAAACCAAAAGCTGCAGATGCCCCTGTTTTGAGATGTATATCGTCTAGATCTCGTCTCACTATGTAACGATAGGTAACACCGAACAAAGCACAACTAGAGAAAATAATTGCCAGATGAAAGCTTAGTTGAATGTAGCTGGTATCTTGATACAAGGAAATGGGTAGACTGGCAAGCGTTCCGATTATAGCTGAAATAGATGCAGCTTTTATAGACTCCAGTCTCTCTTTATCTTTGTTTACCTCTTCAGCTGGAGCATCTTCAAAACTGTTCTCATCCATGTTTGATGACAGAGAACGTTGAGCTTCATCTACCATGGCTCTGGCTTCTAATAGTTCTCTTTGCGATTTTTCAATCTTTTGAAAGGAGGAAGTGAAAACAACATCAGAAGCAAGGCCAAGCAATTTATGTCTTCTTAACTTGAGTTGTAAAGATAAATTTCTGGACAAATGCAACTAGGGGTGGAAATGAACCAAATAATTAATAAATGGTTCGATAATTGTTCGAATAACTATTCGGTCATATTCGATTCGATAGTTCATTTATCACTAAACAAATATTTTTTAGTATTCGAGTTTATTAACGAATAGAATTTAACCAGATGTATATTCGATTCGTTTGTCTATTAAATATTCGTTTAAAATTTGATCACAGCTTATTATTTGTATTATTACACATATGATGTCATATTTTTAACCCACTTACCATTTCTACTTAAGTTTTATATATAGATTTTAAGACTTAAATAATCTTAAATCTGTTTTCTAATTAAAATTTTGATTTAAATATATATACATCATATATTATAAAGAATTAATTTTTATTTATAAATTTTAATACTATTTGAAAATTAAACTCTTTAACGAAATAAATATACTTTGATATTCGATAAGTATTCGTGAATATTCATGAATATTTATCAAATACCAAGTATTCGAGTTCGAATTCGAAAAACTAGATATATGAATAATAGAGTCCGCATTCGAATTCGATAATTTTAAACAAATACAAATATGAACACCTTAGTATTCGATTCGATTCGATCATTTACCACCCCTAGCTGCAAGAAGATAGTTTCTCTTAGGGGTGGAAATGAACCAAATAATTAACAAATAGTTCGATAATTGTTTGAATAACTATTCGGTCATATTCGATTCGGTAGTTCATTTACCGCTAAACAAATATTTTTTAGTATTTGAGTTTACTAACGAATAGAATTTAACTAGATGCATATTCGATTCGTTTGTTTATTAAATATTCGTTTAAAATTTGATCACAACTAATTATTTGTATTATTGCACATATTATGTTATATTTTTAACCCACTTACCATTTATACTTAAGTTTTATACATTGATTTTAAGATTCAAATAATCTTAAATCTATTTTCTAATTAAAATCTTGATTTAAATATATATACATCATATATTATAAAGGAATAATTTTTATTTATGAATTTTAATACTATTTGAAAATCAAATTCTTTAGCAGAATAAATATACTTTGATATTCGATAAGTATTCGTGAATATTCATGAATATTTATCAAATACCAAGTAATCGAGTTCGAATTCGAAAAACTAGATATATGAATATTAGAGTATGCATTCGAATTCGATAATTTTAAACAAATACAAATACGAACACTTTAGTATTCGATTCGATTCGATCGTTTACCACCCCTAAATGCAACAACAAACGACGATTGGGATGACCCTGCCACATGTGGTATGTGTACGAAGCACACACACAGATGCACACGAAGATTTTATATGGACAAGGCCTTTCAACTATGTTGTCAGTCATTCTAATGGATAACTCTTATAGATATAAATTGAGATTTGAAGAATTCTATTCATTTGTTTAATGGTCTCAGTGCACGACCGTTTAATACAGAACAAAAGGAATCATTAGACGGATGCTATAGAAGCTATTATAATGCATATTTTTCTATGTAGAAGTGTTCAATGACATGATAAACAAGATGCACGAAGTGGATTGTGTATTAGAGTGACAACAATAACAAAGCCAAAAAATCCTTCATCCCAAAATTTTGATGTCAGCTACAACATGAATTATATTCTTCCATTCAGTTCTGTTAAGGGTTATCTTCACTGTTGTCTGTAGAGATTCTTCCTATTTGCTCCCCACCTTGTTCTTTCAGGACTACATTTAGTCCTCCTTACCTCATTAACTATAACCTTACCACTTTGTCTAAATGGTTTAGTTGCCTTTATTGGCCAAGATTAAATCATCTCAATCAACTCTCTCATGTCATCCTCAATAGGAACAATCTCAAACCTCCCACAAATGCACTCATTTCTTGTCTTAACATTCTCACTTTTGTTACACTTACTTACCGAACATCCTGAATCCTTGATCCATAAAAATATTGTTGGTCATATACTTGTCCTATGGAATTGTGTATTTGAGTGACCCATTAAGTAATTTCAAACGTGGAAAGAAACATTTGTTCCTAGGGAACTTTAGAGTCTTACCTCACACGCACACAAAAAGTTCCTAAAGGCGCATTTGGAGTGGAGAGTCTGCTTCATCAAACCCAAAATTCTACTATTTAGTGGATGATTGTGATCGACGATAGATTTCGAACGAAAAGGTGCAAATGAACGCAAATTACAGAGACATGGCAAGTGCTATATTTGAAATGAATCATAAATGAATGCATAATAACAGAAATTAAACTCTCCACTACCAAAATGCAGTGAAGAGGACACAAATCCACTTCTATCAAGAGCATGTATTTAGAAATTTTGTAGAGTTCCTGCAAGATCCAGGAACCTAACTCGAAATGGGGCGTCTAAACTAAAGCCAACTTCATGATGAGATAAGGATACACAAATTTGTACAATAAAATTTGAACTTTTTACTCGATGGGTTTTCTAAATGCAATTAAATAACAACATCAGTATATCCAAAATCCCCACAAAATTTGAACTTTCCTTTCGTTCAGGAATAAAATCAAACAGCTAAGAGAGCAAAGGACAACGGACCTCCAACTTCCTGTTCTCCAGCTGAGCAACGTATTCCTTGGCCCTGACTGCTTCAGCCTCTCGCCTCTCGATCTCAGCCATTGCTTCTCTCGCTCTCTCTACTCTTTTCGAAGCCTCGTTCAGTCCATCGAGTAGTTCTTTGTTCTCTTCTCTCTTTAGGAGCTCATCCACCATTCCTGATACTGCCTCGTTGGAGAACGAAGACTCGTTGCTGATGCTGCTGCTGCTGCATTTGGGAGGTCCAATTGAGATCGTGGGTTTGAATTTGGTTGGGTAGCTTGGGTTAATGGAGAATTTTAGGGGGAGCGATGAGAGAAGGGAGAGGGAGTGCATGGCTAAAGATATTTTGGCCCCTCCTTTCCTGTTTGCTGCTGCTGCTGCATTTGGGAGGTCCAATTGAGATCGTGGGTTTGAATTTGGTTGGGTAGCTTGGGTTAATGGAGAATTTTAGGGGGAGCGATGAGAGAAGGGAGAGGGAGTGCATGGCTAAAGATATTTTGGCCCCTCCTTTCCTGTTGTTTGAATTTGGTTGGGTAGCTTGGGTTAATGGAGAATTTTAGGGGGAGCGATGAGAGAAGGGAGAGGGAGTGCATGGCTAAAGATATTTTGGCCCCTCCTTTCCTGTT